GTGAGCAGGAAGCCAAGCCCAAGAGCAAGCTGGGGAGCTTCCAGCTCTCCTTGGAGCTCAGAAGGGAAGCAAACTCCAGCAACTTGGGGCTCAGGTGTCTGGGGGCTACACAGCTGCGACCTGTTCACTCTTGACACGGTGTGTAGGCAAGTGCAGTGGCTCGGGCTGCGCCCGGCCTGGAGTAAATCATGTTCACAAACCCGTAAAGATTGTGAAGAGTGTAGCAATTACTTAGGTAGCCAAGACTTTAAGTGGCTTCAGTAACCTAAATGTGCAGTGGCCAGCACCATATATGGAAACTCAGTGTATTCTTCATACTTCTATTTGTGCTAATGGGAATTCCCCAGAATATTATAATAAATAAACGTTTATTACAATAAACTTTCCCCTGATGCTAACTCATCTCACTCTAGAGCATCTATTTCATGATTATTCTGCATTGTTAAGAGGTTAGTAGTTCTTCTGGGGAAGTCTTAATTTTGCTGTTGTTGTTTTATAGCAAAAGATTTTAGTAAAAATTGAAACTATTTTTTAACATTTCAAAAGTCAATGATAATTTATGAAGTCTGGTGGATTTGGAGATAAGCTATTAAAGTCCCAATAGAATTTAGATTATAACCAAATGCTATGTTTCTAATAGTGATAAAATTTTTTATATTTGGGAGTAGAAATAGTCTTTAAATATGTGGATACTGTTCATCTGCCAAAAAGAAATACTCTATGATTTTGCAAAACATGCTGTAAACTCTGGGGCTAATGGCATCTGCTCTGAAGTGTTCAGGTGGGGGCCAGAGCTCTGAAATCCAGGAAACTTGAGAGGGACTTGGTCATAGAAGATTAAGTGCTAAGCACAGACAAGGTGAGAGGGATAAGAAATCTAAGGTTATCAAGTAATCAGACTTCAAAGATTTAAAAAGACACAGCTTCCTGTCTGCTAATCAGGGTTTCTATTCATTCAAAACCTTACCATTCTTCCAGTTATCATTGTTCAAAACTTCACAAACAGCAGCCCCTTCCTCTCTAATCAAGCCCTAGTGGAGGGTATGAGAGAGCTCCCTGGTCTACAGAGGAAGGGTGAAATGCCAGTGGGTGGGCCACTTACCAACCAGGTAAGACGCTACCTGCCCTGCTTCTGTCCCTGAGTGGGTCAGAGGAAGTGGAAAAAAATCCTTGCTAAAGAAAGGGCTTTTTTGTTGAGTAAATATTAATTCTTTCTGAGTGTGTGCTTCTTGTAGATAAGTATCTACCAGCTCGCAGATCTTTCTTTCTAGCCTCTGCCCATTGCTGAAGGCTCCCTGGAAGGAGAAATGACTCTGAGGAGATGCAGGGCCAGACTGCTTATCAGAGCTCTGCCTAGACCGAGCTCTCCCGTTGAAAAGTTAATGGCAATGCAATTCACCGACAGCAGAGACACAAAATCAGCAGGAACCCAAGATTAAAGCCAGTAGGGATCCAAGATTAAAGTAGGAAACCTGTGAGTACAGATCCTGATGTTTTTTGGGGACATTAGGACATAAGAGGAGAGCTCAGTCTTTATAGTTTTCCTCAAAATTATAATGACATCTAGCAATTTTATGCTTTTTTCTAGAAATTACTTTCTTCAAAAATTACTTTTCATTTTTACCCTGTCTTACCATCTAACTCGAGCTGACATCTTCTCTGTCATCACCTCCAAAGATCTCTATTTTTTTTATAAACCTATGCCTCCTCTTGCCTTATGGTGATTTGATTATAGCTACTCAGGGGTCCAAACTCAGAGCTACTGGTTTCCTTTCCATCATTCCATTTACCTGGACCCAAGTAAGAATGTCCCACCTTCTAAGTACCTCTGCAATCTGAACTTGTCACCTACACAGCTCAGGTCCTCTGCATCTCTCACTTGTACACAATAGTCTCTCAACTGCTTTTGCAGTGTCAGTACTCCCAGCCCCCAGCCCACACTCCATGTGGGCTACTAGAATATATATATAT